ACTTTGGGGGATGCTGGTGTTACAATGATAGAAAACAATGATAGATATATTCATACATAGGGCCTCTAGTATGAATATAAGAGCAACTGTGATGGAAAGTGCTGAGTATTAACAATTGGATATAAGATGCTTGTGGGATATCCCATGACTCCTGTGGAGTTATAACTATAGAACTGGAGTTCAGGAGAATATCTAAGATGGAAATATGTTTAGGAATCTTTGGTCTGTAGGTCTGAATGTAATTGTTCAGGGAGACTGTATAAAGAAAAAAGAAGAAAAGACAAAGGATAAATAATTCTAGAGAGCACTAACTATTAAATTAATACTTCCAGGGGAGGCTGACCTAAAAGTAGGAACAAAGGAGCTGGGTGTGGCTAGTGAGTAATGCTGGAAATCCTAGGGAGTAGTGGCTATACACAGAAATCAGAGAGGAGGATTACCAAAACTCAGAAAGTGATCAAATTAGATAAATTACATAAATATTTATTGGTAAGAAGAAGATAATAGCTGGTCACCTTACTTATGTTCAAAAGTAGGATGACAGGATAAAGATTGGAGTTGGTAAAGAACTAGATGATAAACAAAGAAAATATATGGATCATACATCCCAAACTTTTTATAAGATGCTTGTCAGAGTGTGACCTCCAACAGAATATGCAAACCCATGGTGCTAGGAATGTGTGATCTCCAATGTACAAATACCTTATGCCTTAAATACTGAAGACACAGACATGTTTGTCCTCGTGTCTGAAAGCCTCCTTGTTAGTTAGCTATATGATTACTTTTATGTGGCTATAGATATTCCTACATCATAAGGCTGAGAAGTGAAAATATAACCAACCAACAAGGCATTTGGGCTGTGCATCTGGCAATCAGTTCGAAGGACTTTGTCACTGAGTTTGATGGATATTTGTGGTCTCTGGCAAGCCCCTCCCTGTTGTCCTTCAATTCACAATCATAGCAAAGTCTGTTTGAGGTATTATGTCCCTGGCATGCAAGGCTCCTGGGGAACAACTTGATATTGGGATAAATAAGCCACGTGGAAGTTCATTCTGGAAGTGGCTTAAGTGTCTTGCCTAGGTGCCAAGAAGAATTTAAATGCAAAAAGAAGAGACCAGGAATATCACGCTGATGTTTTTATGTAGTCAATGCATTTACTTAATCTTCGGAAGCTTTTATGCCAGGCTGTGCTCCCTGATGGTGCGCTGGGCAAAATATGCAATATGGTAGTAAGTGAAATATGCAAATACCTGTGCCTTCAGGAGCTTATATTGTAATGGGTAGAAGGAGAGCCACAATAAACAAAACAAATAAGTAAATTATGGGTGTTGTAGATGGTAAAAGACATGGGGGGGGTATGGAAGGGATACTGGAATTTTTGGAGGAATGTGAAATATTAAACAGGAGAGTCAGTGAGAGCTGCATTTGAGTAAAGACTGAAATTGAAGGATTAAGCCATGGAAAAACCTGGAGAAAGAGAATTTCAGGTGAAGAAAAAGCAAAACATATGAGGCAGGCAACAGAAAGATGCAGGAGAGTAACAAAAAAGAGGAGAGTAGTGAGAGAAAATAGGGAGAGAGAATATAGTAAGACCTGGGCCATTATAAGGACTGTACTGAGTGATTTTAAGGAAAATCACTGAACAGGAAAAACTGATTCTATAATTTTAAGAGACTCTTCATTGAGAAAAGACAACTTAATATTAAATAATAACCTATAATTTTCCTATCAGTCTGCCCTTTCTTTTGAAGGTAATGCTTCTACAAATGACCTCCCCAATCTGCTTGGTTCCATCATAGAAACCCCTCCTTCTCAAAGAAAAGAGGAACTGACTATGCGGTTCTCTGAAAATGAAGTGGCATCTTCAGAAAATACATGGAATGTCATCTTTGTGCCACCCAGAAAGGCTGATAGTGAGAACAATGTGGGAATTTGAAAGAACCTTTTCCAGAACCAGAGGAGGAGTAATACACTGAAATCAGTTCTGTGTGCCTCTGTGTGTGTGTGTGTGTGTGTGTGTGTGTGTGTGTGTGTAAGTGGAATATTCACTAAAAATAATAACAATAAAGCTTTCACATGGGAATTTTTAAGATATTACAAGACCTTAACTTCTTTGCAACTAAAATTCCACCAAATAAATATCTCCTGAACCAGAACATGGTTCTTTGAGCAAAAACAGAGAACAAGCACTGAAGAAAATAAGCTACCTGTGGATCCAGTTTATTGAGGTAGCTTTTAGTTGCCTTCTTAAGTACTCTTGAAGAGGTCTTTTCAATGTTGGTCTCACCTATCAGAACCAGTGTATGATTTTATAAGCACGCAGTCACAGAATTTGAAATTTGGGTTTTTCATCCTTATTATGCTGTTAAATAGCATTTTACTATTTAAAGTAAACACTTTACTACCTACCATTGACTGGATCTTAGTTTTCTCACTTGCATATTAAACAGTTGGAAGGACAGTAGCAGTTACTTTTCTTGTTAAGGGTATCTGTGAAAATCAGTGGTATGGGTGGGGTTGACTCCCAAACAAGCTCCATGCTCTCAGTAATTTGATAGGATTATCTTATCCAGAGATGATAACTACACAGCTTTGTAGTCAACATCCTTTTTTTGTTCCCTTAGACAATACAAACAGACCTCGATACTTAGCTCTATTGAGGCAATCATAACTCAGGGAGAGTCAGAATCTTTGTAAAAATTCATTTTTGCATAGTGACTCAGACAATCACGACCAAATAAATTAGAGCTGGCACCCAAGTTGAAAACAACGTGCTACCTTACATTAGAAGAATGACTATATGGAAGCCAACAGTTCCTAGTATAGCTAAGAAGAGCATTTGCATCCTGTCAGCCAATGTCTCCCAGCCCTAAAGGCTTCTAACGTGTCACCAGTTCTGCCAACATGAAGTCCTTTCTGGTATCCTGGGCATAACCAAAATGGATCGATTAGCTTTTCAGTCAAAGAGGCCTGGAGATGTAGCACTCATTTCCCTTCTAGATAAAGCCCACTTGCATCCTGAGAAGAGAGCCTTCCATAAAAGAAACAAACTCAGAAAGTCAACAAACAGAGAAATCTGGGACTTCTTGATCTTTGAAGCTCCCACCCACTCACTTTGTTATGATCCACATAAACAGGAGCTTAGATCAAGAAATCTGTGTTTGTTTCAGTTCTAATGAAAAGTCCTAACAATGTTATTAGATAAATGTGATGAATTTTAATCTGGTGAGACAGCTTGTGACCCAAAAATTGCTATTTAAAATTAAAATGCATTCAAAATTAAACTGGCAAGCCAACTACAATATTAAACATGCAATCTGCTGTGGAAAACACCTATTGAAAGACTATATTAAATATGAATATAATTAATTTCCATATAGCATCTTGCAATTGAAATATGAAAAAATTGCTCTTTAATTCATTGCTTTTATTAAATTCAAATTGGTTGAATAATCTTTTTTTTTTTCAAATTAAGAAGTTAAAGTATAGATGGATTGGTTTGTCTTTGGTAACCCACCCCATTTAGCTGAGCTCTAGGTGGTACAGAATCTAGTAGTATAGACTCCAGATTTCTCTTTTGATGAATAAAAGTCCTCTATTTACCTCATCCCAAATGTTCATTTATAATAAATGTAAAAATGTTTCCCACCTGCTTACTTCCAAGTTTATTTATAACTTTCATGGTATAAATTACTCAAGATATATTAAATGTGATCTTTAGAATTGTTTATACATTAGTTTTAAAATGTATTTAAAACTAATGATATTTTTGATAGGTCAGCTAAATCATTTCTAAAATTGAAGCGCTTTTTTATGGTAGAGAATGTTTGTATTAGTGCTATTACTAAACATTAATACAGTACTAAGTAAAACTCAACCCAGTGTGTATATTTTCATCCCATATTTTAACACTAAAGAATTGTATGTGGTAATAAAAGGATTCATTACCATTGTTTGCAAAGAATTTAATGACTAAGTCTTATCTATTTCTAGTTTTCAAAAGGTATCAAAGAATGATTTCAGTTTCCACAATATCGCATCATAATTATAACAATAAACATGTGTACTTAATTACAGACTTAATGTTCCTATGCATTCCTTGTTCAAGAGATTCTCAACACATTAAAACAGCATTAGCTAGAAATCAGAGAGAACCATATTTCACCCTCGTTATTGCCAATATAGAAAAAGACTCATCGGCTCTTTTAAAAAGATAACACAAGAACTATCATTTCACAACCATTACCCATTACCCCTGGAGCACAGTACATACTCAGTAACTGTCAGTTGAAGGAATGAATGAATATGTGTGACTGGATAGCAAGCAAACCTAGTCTTGGTTGCTACAGGACTACAGCATGGACCAAGGCTGTTGCAGCAGGGCTCCTAAAATCTCCCTGTCTTACAGTCTGACCATGGTGCTGAATGAGAAGACACGGTCCTATTTCAACCCTCCCTTCCTCTTTATTGGTTCAGAAAACGCGAGTGACAAGAGCAGGGGCCAAAGGAGCCTGGAGCGGCATCCTTCCTAGGAACCACGTATCTGGATCTTTGGGGCGACGCTATGGTCCATCGGGCTACAGCCAAGGCATGCCTCTGAGCCCTCAGCGAAGCCCGGAGACCTGACAGATGTCACCGCTGCAGTAGAGAAGGTGACTCCAGCGGGATGGCTTGTCTGTCTCCCGAAGAACTGGAAGTCAAGTGCATGCATAGCCTGGAAATAGGATCAGGAAGTCTAGATGGCGGGGAGGGAAGCAAACCTTTATTCCTAAGGCCAATGTTCCCCATGGCTCGCACGGGGTACCGAAAAATCAGGGGCTGATTTCACCTTAAGTTTTCGGCCCTAGTCTTCCAACAGGTGCATGACTCGCTCCCTCACCCCTTCCCCGTTAGCACCGTCCCGCTTTGCCTTCCTAAGGCTTCCTCTGCCAGGCAGGCTGTTCCTAGGATGCCTTTTCCTCCCTCCCGTCTGCTTTCCAGCTCTGCCCAGCACCCCTTACCTGCAGCCTGGAGACCGAAGAGCAGGCACAGGGCTGGGAAGCCCGCTGCTCTCCGCATGGCGATCGCACGGAGAGGCGGAGGGGGACTCCTCCACGACCCCGCTCCGGGAAAGTGCGGCCAGGAGGAGCCAGCGCCGCAGGGTCCCCGGGCTCCGGGATGCAGCCTGCAGGGTCCCCGGGCTCAGGGATGCAGTGGTGGGTCCCCGGGCTCCGGGATGCAGCCTGCAGGGTCCCGGGGCTCCGGGATGCAGCCTGCAGGGTCCCGGGGCTCCGGGATGCAGCCTGCAGGGTCCCCGGGCTCCGGGATGCAGCCTGCAGGGTCCCCGGGCTCCGGGATGCAGTGGCGGGTCCCCGGGCTCCGGGATGCAGCCGCGGGTCCCGGGCTGGAGCGGGCAGGGCGGTGGGCGGCGCCTGCAGAGACCGCCGGGCAGAGCCCCCGGGGAGGGGAAGGACGGGAGGGGCGGCGGCGGTTGAGCGGGGGGAGCTGGAGGGCGGGGGCGGCCCTCGGAGGCGGGTGCCGCTCGGCCTCTGGAAGCCCCGCAGCGGCGGCCCCGGAGCCCGCGGTGCGGAGCGAGCAGCAGCGGACGCCGCGGCTACTGAGCATGCCCGGCGCTGCCCGCCCGTGGGTTCCGAATTCAAATCCACCTCCGGGTCTTAGCGGCCGCTGGAGGGGCAGGCGGGGGGGGGGGGGTTAGCGGGGGGAGAGGAGAGAAGGTGGGGCGTGCTTTTGGGAGCCATGGGTAGGAAGAAGGGTCTGTCAAACCCCTGGGAGTGAGGTGCGGTGGATAGAGTGAGTCCAGATGAGGGCATGCCCAGGGGGACCAGAGGAAAGAGCCCAAGAGGGTCAACCTCAGACCCACCCAGCTCCCTCCCCAATTCGCGGTTTACTCGTGCACCCAGCTCGCTGCAGGGAGTCGACCTTCGCAAGCCTGGAATGACCAGCTTCCAGAGCTGCCTGCAGGAATAGGGTGTAGGCGGCCCCCGCTGCTGAGCACCCGGGGCCTGGAGACCTGCTTTGAGGGGATTTTTTGTTTGTTTGTTTCTATCGATATTTCCCTTCCAGACAAATCCCTGGTATTTAAATTTGCTCCTCACTGGAGTCCAAAGTCTATGATTATAATAACAGAACTAAGTGAGGCCATACTGTTTGACCGGTAGGACATACCCCTGTGATTGAAGAAACGAAGGCGCCTTTCTGTTTTTGGGGACAGTTACCTTTAGTCTCCATTTTTCTTCCTCAGGTGACAGGCAATAGAACCACTTCTGCCAGGGGCTCCTCCAAGCAGCTCTGGGTCTTGCTGCAACCATCTGTCTAACTGGTTGCCCACCCAGCCCACCCCAATCCCACGCCCCCATCTAAGACTTAGGAGTGTGGAGATCCTGACTTTAGTCTATGGGCTAATAGCTCTTAATCCTGGAGTCCCTGCCAGACTTCTCTGCTGTAACCGTCCCAGGAGCATCCATGTCTTCATGGAATGCTGTTGTCCCTTCCCCAATGGCCTCCACTTGCATGCTCTCCACACTCAAGCTTACAGAGGTCTAACCGTGGCCTCACTTTTCCAAAAGTTCAGGCGGAGATCCAAGGCACAGTGCTGCTTCTCTTTCACACATCAGTCTATACACAACCTTGGTGCAGCATCACCTTATATGTTTATACAGATATGCGTGTACCTGTGGTTTGTCTTCCAGCCCAGTGGAAGGCTTCATAAGAACGAATGCATCTTTCTCCCACTTAAATTGAGTAAAGCTGTTCCAGGCAAATAAAAGGTACTAATAAGTGCTTATTGAGTTGACCTGCATATCTCACTCAATGCTTTCTTTCTCCAGCCGCTGTGGACTGGGACAGCTAATGAGAAATATACTCTCTACAGGAGCTTAAGTTAGGCAGGATCTTATAGGATCAGAAAGCCTGGACAGAATCTTTGTATAATTTATTTCACCTCCAACACTGAGAGAAGATGCCAGGAATTGTCCTCCGGTGTTAGGAGGAGAGAATAAGATTTATTTTTTATATAATTTTCTTATTGATTAGGATATTACATATGTATCCTTATTCCCCTTCTTCCCCTCCCCCAACTCATGAGCTCACCCCCCTGGTGTCTGTGTCCATTGGTTAGGCTTATATGCATGCATTCAAGCCCTTTGGTTGATCTCTCCCCTTCCCCCCACCATCCCCTACCTTCCCTCTGAGGTATGACGGCCTGATCAATGCTTCTCTGTCTCTGGGGAATAATATGTATTTTTAATAACTAGACAGTTCTTCCATGCTGAAAACAGAGCTATATAGCTTCACTCTCCCCACTCCTCCACCTCTCCGCATGGGCATGTCATGTACCATTTTTGCGGCATTACCATTTTACCCTAAGCCATCCTAAGCTATGCCCTCTTCCCCTACTCTGGACTCACTTTCCCCCAATCTCCTTTTCCCATACAATATATCACTTTCTAACATATCAAGATAACTATTAAATGTATCATATTGACCCAACTGGCGTAGTTCAGTGGTTGAGTGTTGAATTTGATCCAGGGTCAGGGCACATACCCAGGTTGCAGGCTGGATCCCCTGAGGCAGGCGTGCAGGAGGCAGCTGATCAGTGAGTCTCTCTCATCATTGATGTTTCTTTGTCTCCCTCTCCCTTCTTCTCTAAAAACAATAAAAATATTTTTAAGCAAATTTATCATATGGTCTGTTTCCCTGCCCTTCCCCCTTCCCGTTCCTGCAGTGGAATCCCATTTTCAAGGGCAGAATCTTTAACAGTTGTATTCACTTATTTATCCAACTGATTGGAAGAGTACCTCTCCCAAAACAGGTGCTCAAAAGAGTAAATTAAAAGAAATTAGTTGGCAAAGTTCAATGCTGACCATTAACCTGGTTCTCTGGAATTCCTACTAAATAGATATTTGAGGTAATTTACTTAGTTGATCTTAAAGGTTAGAGCAGTGCTTCTTCTCATCTAATATCTGGTATTAGAATTCCTGCAGGGTTTGGAGTTGAAGAGAAATAACCATAGTAATGGATGTGTTTCCTTTATTTTTGTCTTTCTTGGAAAAACAACAACACACTAATTTCTAACCTTTAAGAAGCAAATGCATGAAAAGTAATGAATAATGCTGTAACAATGCCCTGCTTCCCTACAGATAATTCCAACATTTTGGAGGGGAAGCGAGTACATTTAAAGTTTCAAATAATTGGCACTGACTTTTCCAACAAGCAGTCAGCAAGCTATTTATTTTGCCCAGGTGTGTAGGTAGCTGAATTATTAACTGTGCCTGAAAATCCCCTTAACAGCAAAATTTTCCAATTTCCAATGTAACTAGATGTACTGCTAAAATAGTTCAGCGTGGTAAAAATAACCTCGAGTGAGCTGTAATTTTGGTAACTGGACATTCATTTTTAATTTACATAAAAAAAGATAAAGGAGCAAGAAAAGTTCACATCCTTTGGTGAGTCAACCTAATATACTTCCAATGGATTTGATCTCATGACATGTGAAGTCAAAGGACAAAAAATGAATTAGCCAATTAGTGAAAAGTCAACCCCTTAACATTTGAGAAATAGTCCCTCTGGGTCCACAGAGGCTGCTTTTCCTTCACTCTATGATCAAATAGTACTGAAGGCAATTTGCGTTGTAGAAAAGCTTGGTTAAAACACTGCCCCAAGGTTTAGAAGAGTTAGTTCAAACTCTGAAAAGCATGGAAATTAATATGAGAGAGCCATGCAAATTCGTATTGGCCTACAGAGCTGTGTCTTAAAGGAAATTATTTACCTTTCAAAAGATAAATAGAAAATTCATATCATATGGACTTTTCCTCCCCAGTAGATGCATAATCTCTTTCTTATAAGGTGAGATTCAGGCAGAATTACTACAGGAGAGAAGCTTTTTAGAGCCAGTTCTCAAACCAAATTTAATTATAATAAAACAGGAATTTTGGGGGGTGAAAAATAAAATTTTAGGAAATTAAGGGGACCATGGAGGAAGCATAGGGTTACAGAGCAGCAGAAGGTATATCTCCATAGAATAGGGAACTGAAAAGCTGCGTAGAATGAGGGAGCTGGGAACAACAAAAGGTCTATATTTACTAAATAAAAAGAAGGAAACCCCTCATCCAAAAGGAAAAAAAAGCTGAAAGGGAATAGGAAGACAATAAGGAAAGGGAGAACACTATACAGTCCCCAGTCTAGGGGAACAGTGACCAATCAGAGGGAATATCAAGGCACCAGGATCTGCAGCCTTTATAAGCCACAGGGAAAGGGAACTCAGTGGGACCCTTTTCCCCCTCCTCACGTGGAGTCCATTCTGTGGGGCTCTTTCCCTCTCTCCAAGTGGGAGTCTCTACTTGTCTTTCAATAAATCTCCACCTTTGCTATATACCTTCTGTCCATGGATTCATTCTTTGACTCCGAGGAACAAAGAATCCGGGTTTCAGTCCAGGGGAACACTGCATGTTCCAGTACAAAAATTCCATATCAATAATAAGCCTCCACATTAACTTTTTTATAAATGGAGAAATGTCATTCATGTTGGCCAGCCTTCCTTAGGACACTTTAGATAAAGAAATTGGATCTATTGATTGTTAGAGTTTTCTGTTTGTTTTTATTATTATTTAGATACTAGAGGCCCAGTGCATGAAATTCATGCACGGGGGTTGTGTGTCCCTCAGCCAGCCTGCACCCTCTCTAATCTGGGGCCCCTCAAGGAATGTCCAACTGCCCAGGGTGGGATCAGGCCTAAATGGGCATTCAGACATCCCTCTCACAATCCAGGACTGCTGGCTTCCAACCACTCACCTGCCTGACTGATTGTCCCTAACCACTTCTGCCTGCCGGCCTGGTCACCCCTAACCACTCCCCTGCCAGCCTGCTCGATGCCCAACTGCTCCTTTGCCAGCCTGATTGTCCCTAACTGCCCTCCCTTGCTGGCCTGGTTGCCCCCGACTTCCCTCTTCTGCAGGCCTGTTCCTGTTCCAACTGCCCTCCCCTGCAAGCTTGGATCTCTTCCACCTTCCCTCCTCTGCCATCCTGGTCAATCCTAACTGCCCTCCCCTGCAGGCCTGATCACCTCCAACTGCCTTACCCCCCAGGCCTGGTCCCTCCCAACTGCCCTCCCCTGCTGGCCATCTTGTTGTGGCCATCTTGTGTCCACATGGAGGCAGCCATCTTTGACCAAATGGGGCGGCCATCTTGTGTGTTGGAGTGATGGTCAATTTGCATATAACCCTTTTATTATATAGGATAATGAGAACTAATAATGATTGAGGGCTTCCTATGTCCCAGTTTCTGCTCTAAGCCCATGGATATCTAATTTAAACTTTATAATGTCCTTATGAGGAGGCATTTTCATGATCTCATTTCAGACATGAGACATGAGAATTAGATCAATACCAAGACAGG